TAAGAATCTTATGCAAGGTAACTCGTTAACCGAAATCTCGTTAACCGAGGCGCTCGTTAACCGAGGGACCACTGTAATTGTAATAGAAAAACAATAATTCTCATTCTGCACTTAAAATGACAAAATAGTTATGGTACCTGGACATAAATTGGTGATGTTCACCTGTAAAGAAAAAAATATCTACAGTAGATTAAGAATAAAATAAAGAACAAATACCTAAGGAAAAATAAAAAACTAGAGAAATAAAATAATTACAGAAAAAACATAAATGTAATATGTTTACTTACTGAAAATTAAATAAACAAATTATGAAAATAAAGTAAAAATACAGACAACAAAAAAATCAAGATAAATGAAGAAATAAAGAAATAACAAGAAACAAAATCAATTAACTTATATAAAGTGATTACTGATTCTGCACCCAGTACAGGTACGTACACACATATCCAATGGGGTGACATCTGGGGTCTCGGCTGGGGTGACTTGTGGGTACTCTTAAGTCATTGTCTGGGTCCTCATGTAAGATGACATCTGGGGTAGCAGAAGTAGATGCAGTAGGATGTTCAGTTGAAGAGAGTTGCTTACTGGTCTCTGTTGCTTTTTTGTACCAATTATCCAAAGTTTTGTTTCATGTAGTATTTGGGCTTTTCTTTATTGAGAAACCAACCAAGGACAGAAACCCTGCCCTTAACATCCTTCGTGCCGACACATGCCACTTCTGTTTCTTGCGCCAAAGTTTTGCCGGGGATGCGATTCCAAAAAAGCGCCGTTTCGTCGGCATTATATATATCTGCTCGGAGGATAAATTGTCATGTGCAACATACTCTGCAAATTCCTCGATGAACTTAGCACCTGCTTTAGTATTTGCACTTCCCCTTTCCCCACATATATGGTGTAAACTAATACCTTGCCTTTTTTTTTATTTTTGCAGCCATCCCTGGGAATACTCACACTCATGCTGCAGGTTAAGTTCTTTGTGAAATATTTTTGCCTGTGCTATTAACATCTTGCGCGACAGAGGAAAACGTTCACTGCTCCTAAGTTTGAATCACTGTATGAGAGCACTGTCTAAATCACTGTTTTTCCCGTCCTTCAGTGTTTTGTGCATATCCATATACTTTTTAGTGTCAAGATTTACTATACAACTTAAGGATTTGAAGTTTTTGCTTCTTGACATCATACACTGTAGATGATCCAACATTGTACACATCACATAAGGCACGGACTGATACGCCACTGTCCACTTTCTTCAACAGTTCCTCCTTCTGTTGTATCGATATAGATACTACGTGTTTGTGGCATTTGGAAGTATTTCCTGTACCTGTATTACCTGCTGGTGGCTTAGGAGGCATATTAAGGGTAAATAACAAGTGAAATATTACAGAAACACTTGAAATACCGAGGAACACACCAAACTCCACGAGGACCAGATGTAAACAGAGGGTATGCCGAACCGTGGATACTAGCGCCGGTGGGTACTAGCGGCCATCCGGCAAACCAAAATTTTGCCGGACGACAGGAGGTGCCAGACATTAGAGTACCGGACTAGGGAGGTTCAACCTGTATACAGTATAGTCTGCATTTACACGGATTTTGTTTACGCTTTTGGTCATTTACGTAGTGCCTTGCTAGAATGTAAATGCTTTAATTATGGTATGCGGTAAATTTGGTCATTTACGCGGTGAGTGGCTGGAGGTCCAGACGCTCCACGCCATACCTGGGAAGCGCCGCGGTGAGTGGTACTCATTAGGCCGCTCTTACGTTATTGCTGACGTCATATGATGTATCGGACTGTGATTGGGCCACGCATCCTTACCACCCACGCATTCCCTCTGCCGCTAGCTGTGATTGGTCTAATGTAACATGACGTACCCTGCCACCAGAGGGTAGAAGTCGCTGACCTAGCAGGGCCTGTCTCATTGTTCTCAGTCCGTGTATACAGTTCTCTCTTGTGCCCGCTATTCCCCTCACAACTCACAATGGCTTCTGCGGGACCCCCACCACCAGAGAAAAACATTGAATTACCTGGACCAAGCCATGATTGTGTGAAGGGAATCATTGAGTTGGGGGAGAAAATTAAGCTCATCCTTGACAACGACCCAGACAAGCATCGGTATGAAGCGTCTAATAACCTTCTGTCGAAAATTATGGAGCCGTATATCCAGATCTATCACGACAACATCAATGCTAGTCGTCAACGTAGTATTGAGGACTTCCTCGCTCTCAACCCACCACAACCACAGCCAGCCCAAGTCAGTGATAGTGACAGTGAGGCTATGGACTTTGAAGGGTTTGTCAGGGAGGCCCTGCAAACCTCTGTGAGTAGTGAAAGTGATTCACCGGAGGGCAACTAATCTGCCCTCTGCCTCGGAACCAGCCGTCATCCACGTGTGCCGATCCAGCTTTTCTAATAACGTAAGTGTTGAAAAACCTAATATTATTGATATTTCTCTTAATTATTAATTACAGTACACTTCCGCCTAACGCGTTTCACTTAACGCTGCTTTTATCATATACGTGCCTCGCCAGAGCTGAACTTTCACTTAACACGGATTTTTTCCACATATACGCGAGTGTCCGCCCGAGACGCTATTTTAGATTTGCCCACCCCCACCCTGCCTGACTGCCTGTTTTAGCTCATAAAATTCATACAAATTACCCGGTCAGAATATAATTTACATTGCTGGAATTCTTATAATTTGGTGATCATTTTGAATATAAACATCATATTTTTGCATTAGACATACAAATTTTAGATAAAATTTTTTCTCAAATTAACTATGTTATCTTTTGTGCAAAATATATGACATTTATATTCAAAATATTCCTGGTCTTACAAGGAATCCAGCAATGTCAATTATATTATCCTAACTTTAATCTGAGGTATTATTTAATACTAAATGTTAAAAACTCTGGAAGGGAGGATTGGTGGGGGGTGGGGGGGAGGGTTGGGACTGACCGCGCGGTTGGAAGAGGGGGGGAGGCAAGGTGGGGTACTTTGATTGACAGATAGTGTCGTGAAGATTATTTTTTTTTTATTAACTGAAGATATTTGTTTTAGCTCATAAAATTCATACAAATTACCCGGTCAGAATATAATTTACATTGCTGGAATTCTTATAATTTGGTGGTCATTTTGAATATAAACATCATATATTTTGCTTTAAACTTACAAATTTTTAGATAAAAATTTTTCTCTAGGTAACTATGTTATCTTTTGTGCAAAATATATGACATTTATATTCAAAATATTCCTGGTCTTACAAGGAATCCAGCAATGTCAATTATATTTTCCTAAACTTTAGTTTGAGGTATTATTTATTAAAATTTAGTGGTTTTCCCCAAAAAATTTCTCAGAGAGGGAAGAGCCGGCAGTGTAGTGTGAGAGGGGGAGTGAGTTGAGTCCATTATTTGAATGGACATTAACTTGGCGACTGTATTTCTCTATTTCTCTTAAGTATTAATTGTGTGCATGTACCATCATAAAATTAAGATGTTATTTTTACTACAACATAGGTATGTGCCTTCAAAAAGTGGAGTTTGGGGGTCGGGCCGGTTTCTATTGGAATTAATCCCATATGTTCTGTTGTTCACTTAACGCGGATTTCACTTAACGCGGGACCCTCTGGGTTCAATTGACCGCGTTAAGTGGGGTACAACTGTATGTGTGCATACCATTATAAAATTAAGATGTTATTTTTACTACAACGTAGGTATTATGTCGGGAAAAAATGGAGTTTGGGGGTCGGCCCAGTCTCTAATTCAATTAATCCCAAATGTTCTGTTATTTAATTTATGCATTTCTCGTTTTACGCGGACCTCCACGGGTTCAATTGACCGTGTAAATGGAGACCCAACTGTATGCAGTATATATATATATATATATGAATGTATGTTTGTTTATTTTATTTATTTTTTAATGAAGTGTAAAGTCAGATCATCAACCTGGGACTTGGTCACATATGGCAGCAGGGTCTACCATTAGACAACACATTATGCTTCCACTATCTGCCCAGGCGGTAGTACCTCCCTGTTTGGTAGCTGCCTACTACCTGTTCCCTGTTGTGAGGTTGAGTTGTTAGTCACACCAATATTGTGACATACCATTTCCTTCATAACTGTTTTACTCTTTGTCATCAAACTCCACAAAAAACAAATTACTTAAAGTCTTAGCCACAGCGCTCACAATCCAGTCAAGATTCACTCGTAGAACATGACGACATTGAGCCGAGTAATGATAAACACTCGCAGTCACAGTGGGTGCCCATCCTCTCCAGCTGGTGCAGTCTGCCAAACTCCTGGGTGTAACTATAGACAACAAACTTGACTGGAAGGCCCATGTAAATAACACAGTCAAGGCAGCCTCGTACCATCTCTACATGCTACGTCGACTTAGGTCACTTGGGACACCCACGCCAGAGCTGAGGACCATCTACAACGCCTTTATTCTCCCCAAACTAACGTATGCGTCACCAGCCTGGTCGTCTTCTCTCAACTCCACCCAACAACGTCAGCTAGAGAAGGTACAGAAAAAGGCCTGCAGAATCATGCTTGGCGCAGAATACTCCGGCTACACCAACGCTCTCTCCACCCTGGAAATGCCATCCCTCAGTGACCTCCACCACCAAGCACTGGAAAGGTTTGGCAGGGGACAACTGCACCACCCTCGTCATCGCCACCTGCAGCCCCCCACCCACCTCGCGCAGTCCGCCGCTACAACAAAATTCAGCCCATAAGAGCCCGCACCGATAGATATAAGAATAGCACCATCCCATCTATTGTTAAAATAATAAACAAATCCTGATTTATGTACTGTACAGCCCTGTAAATGTATTCAATGCATATTATATCATTATGTCTAAATCAAATGTAAGTCTGTATATTTTCAGCCACCGGCTGCAACTCTATTAATAAACCGTTTATTATTATTATTATTATTATTATTATTATTATTATTATTATTATTATCATTATTATTATTATCATCATCTCTATTTTTCAGCCATCCAAAGGAACCCAGAATGAGGAAGGTGGGAGAGAGGGGGAAGGTTCACTGCGCACCAAGAACAGGCCCAAGAGGATGGCATCAATTCATTCTGGGGAGAACGCAGTTAATGAGGTGAAAGATCGTGGAGGTATGCAGGAGTGCCATCTAGTAGCCAAGCAACTGTCCAAGGCTGAAACAAATGACGTATGGAAACACGTCCTCCTTGGCAAGTAAGTCGGGGCTAGGATTCAGAGCATGATAAATGGCAGCTTAAGTGCAGTATTCCCAGTCACATACCAGTAATGTAGCTTTTGTTAAATTGTTATAAAAATAAATATTGTTATCAGAATTTTCTTTTCATTTAATTCCTGTTAATTACTGTTTATCTTGCCAGTAGCTCCTGTCATGAGGCTTACTTACACTAAGCTTTACCTGCCATTTCTTTGTTTTATATTAACAGTTGGTCTCTCTGCATGCTTCATAGGATTATTTGACCTTGTTTCTTTCTGAAGCTAACAACAGTCCTCCTCTCTGCTACTCTTACATCTTAACAAGCTTGGCAGTAGACAGTGTGTGAGCTGAGCACCAGATGGTTCCATGCACTGAACAGTTAACCCTCTGGTACTCCTGACCGTGGTCGGAAATCTCGCCTCCTCGCAGTCTTTCGGCTCAAGTTGCGACGGTAGCGGGAACTACTTTTTCATATTAGTCAACACCGGGTTGAGCGATCCAGACCCTTAGAGATGCATCTGCCAGCGCATGAGGCTAGTGGGAGGAACTAAGGTGGTGGATGGGGCCGGTGCAGTGTTCTGGCCCTTCTGCTTATAGGAGGGTTACTCTCAGTGTGGGATACAGCTGAGTGGTAGGAGTCGTGTTAGCACAGGAGCGCTTAGTAACAACAGTTGTGTCGAAAGACCATGAGAGGGTTAAACACTGTGGAACACTTGGGTAACACTCATCACCCAGCACCTCTTTGGTAACACTCATCACCCAGCACCACTTGGGTAACACTCATCACCCAGCACCACTTGGGTAACACTCATCACCCAGCACCACTTGGGTAACACTCAGCACCACTTCACACCCTACACGTGGTAGCCACAGATGGTGATCACAAGCATCTCATTTCTTCCTGTTGACTTAATGCTCTGCTCATCCTTCTGTGCCATTAGTCAATTTATTTTTTATGCTTAAATTTCTTTCCTTCGTACTTCCCAGCTGCCAATGACCCTTCTACCGTGTACAGTATACTGTATATAGGTCCAACCTTCCTGATCCACCATAAATTTCATACATTTTTCTTGGAATTTGTTTTTTATTTATTATTAATAAATTTTTGCACTTGTGATATGTATTTCCAAGTGGCAATACCTTAAAACTGTGTAACAACACTAATATATACTATGGCATATTTACCATATACAGAAATACTTGGGTTATAACAAAGGATGTGTTCCTAAAAGGCATTGTGTACGGGTCGACCACTGATTTACTGGCACCGTCGGGGCCGGACCGGCGATTTTGCCGAACCGTGGGTGGTGACGGCCTTGGGGAAGCTACCACTCTTATCACCTCCAGCCCAATAGTTCTACACCTCACTGTGGCTCTAAAGCACTCTGGCCTGCTAGAAAATCAAGATGACAATTGGGAAACAATTATTAAAAGAGAACCGGTACAGGCATCCCCCCGGGTTACGGAAATTCGCTCTTAAGGATTTTGTAAATTATGACCCATATATCTGGGATACGGACAAAAAATTCTCCAATACGGAAATTGGGTAAAAATATTATAAGTTAATTTTTTTTCAATACCGGGTACTTTACTATTAGAAAAAAAAAATTATAAAAATTTATTTTGTGTGGATTTCTTGGGGGTTGCTACAAGACTGTACACTCGCCACGCCAACCCGCTCTGTTTGAACTCACGTGCGGTCTTGTGCACTTGGTCTCGCGACACTTACATACTTCTGTATTAAGGACTGTATTATTGTGTACCCTTATTCAAGATGAGTGGAAAGAGGCAGCCATCAAGTTCAAGTGAAAGCAGTGGTGCTAAAAGATCCCGTAAAGGAATTACATTGGACACTAAGCTTGATGTTGTACGGAGGTTTGGTGAGAGAGAAAACCTTGGCCAGATTGTAGAAACATTAGGCCTGTCTGCACAATACCTGATAATAAAGACAAAATTAGGTCAAGTGCTCAATTGGCTACTCCTTTAACTGCCATACGTTGTTTTTCATAGAAGTGATGTGATGCTTAATGTGGAAAGACTTGAATTTGTGGATTGAAGACCAAACAACACGGAATGTGTCGCTAAGCCCGATGATCATTCAGGAGAAAGCAAAAAGTTTGTTCGAGGATTTGTAGAAAGAACGAGGTGTAAGTTCTGATGCTAAACCTCTTCAGGCTAATAAAGGCTGGGTTGAAAGGCTTAAGAAGCGTTGCATAACATTAAGATGGTCGGTGAAGCTGCCAGTGCTGATACAGAAGCTGCACGTAAATATCCGGAAGAGGTGAAGAAAATTATTGCTGAAGGCGGCTACACACCAGAACAAGTGTACAATGTGGATGACACCGGACTTTTTTTGGAAGCGCATGCCTGCTAGGACGTTCATTTCCAAAGAAGAAAAGTCGGCACCAGGTTTTAAAGCTTCTAAAGATCGTCTAACTCTTCATTTGGGAGGAAATGCTGCTGGTGATATGAAATTAAAGCCCCTACTGGTGTATCATTCTGAAAATCCAAGGTCTTCCAAGGGTTACTCCAAGCCTAAACTACCAGTGATTTGGCAATCAAACAAGGAAGCTTGGTTGACCATGAGCCTTTTTCAAGACTGGTTCACAATCTATTTTGCCCCTGCTGTTGAAAGGTACAGTAACAGGAGAAATATATCCAACAAAGCTTTGCTGCTCTTAGATAATGCACCCAGCCACCCAATTAACCCAAATGATCTTTCTGATAAAGTACGAGTGGAATATATACCCAAGAAGACAACTGCCTCGCTCCAGCCGATGGATCAAGGTATGATTACAAACTTTAAGGCCTATTACCTACGAAGAACATTTAAACAGGCCATAGCAGCAATTGGTGGGGAGGATAAACAAAGAATTAGGGACTTCTGGAAAAAGTTCAACATGATGAACGCCGTGGAGAACATAACTGAGTCGTGGGATGAAGTTAAACCATCAACTATGCATGGTGTGTGGAAGAACATATGGCCAGAGTGTGTCAACGACTTTCAAGGTTTTCCCCAAGCAGAAACTATTAATAAAGTTCACCAAGAGATTGTGACACTTGTAAATAATGTTGGCTCTGAAGAAGTCATCCAAGATGATGTGGTTGAGTTATTAGAGGCCCATAGAGAAGATCTGTCTAATGAGGGTCTGATGCTGGTGGAACAGTTGCAGGAGGAGAGGACAATAAAGAAGTTCCACCCATCACACTCGAGTTGACAAAAAAGCATTTGGCTAAAGGGTTTATGCTTGTAGAGGAAACTTTGCAAATCTTTGCCACTAACGATCCCGATAGTGAACGCAACCTCGGTTTCTAAAGAAATACAGAGTAGCCTCAACCGCTACAGGGAGCCGTACAAGGACAAAATGCTCCGTCAACGCCAAGAGCAAGACCTGTAGCAGATGATGGTGTACAGGGCGAGGCAGGAGCCAGTAGTGTCCCTCCCAGTAACTCTATAGCACCACCTTACCTCACCTAACTCAGCCCTCAACATCATTTGTGGTAAGTTAAATTCAAGTGTTTGTATTTTTATTTTCATTATATCATAAAATAATCAATGTACAGTAAAGCCTCCGATAACAATGGTTCGACCAACAACTTTTCTTATTTAAAACCCTAGTTAATTTCGGACCCAATTCAATTCACGTCCTTATTTCATTCGTATTTACGACCAAAATATAATAAAAAATACAATAAAATTACATTTTCATATAAATAATAACTAAATCCCTTGCTAATGAGTGGTGAACAACAGTTGGAGCTTGGCAGTGCTACCAAGAGATGCATCCAGAGCCGAATTAAGGTTTTTGTAGGCCCTGGGCACTTTTTTATCGTAGGCCCCTAAGTTTTACCATCAGGCCAACACCGTGCGTGCTGCCACCTATGGGTAACAGTATGAATAGTAGGTTGGGTTCAGTTGCTTATTATTTTGAGGATTGATAAAAACTCTACATTTGTTTTGCAGTATGTCTAAGAATAAAGGTATTCATTTGTGATTATTTAGTCTCTTGTGACTTCTACTCAATCATAGTTAGTTTCTGGCCAGTCAGGTTCAAAGGATGTCTTACCACTAACCAAACAGGCACTAAATTAATGTTTATAATCACTTAGACTTATGACTGCAATCTATTTCTCTCTTGTCAACTTTATCGATTATTTTCCTTTACCCTGTTGGAACATGAAGGCTAATAGGCCAGACCACAGTTAAAACACATACATTATAGGTCCCTTAAACCTTCGTAGGCCCTGGTCACTGTGCCCCCTTGATAATCCAGCCACTATCTCCCTCACCACCTCCACCTCCTCACCACCACCTTCACCACCACCACCTCCACCCTCACCACCCCACCCACCCTTCACCACCACCCCCTCACCACCCACCTCCCCACCACCCCCACCACCACCACCTCCACCTCCCTCCCACCACCTTCACCTCACCACCTCCCCTCACCACCACCCCCTCACCACCACCACCTCCACCTCCCCTCACCCCACCACCACCCCCCACCACCACCTCCCTCACCACCACCTCCCTCCACCACCACCACCTCCACCTCCCCACCACCACCTTCACCACCACCTCCTCACCACCACCTCCTCCCCACCACCACCTCCACCCCTCACCACCCCTCCCCACCCACCACCCACCTCCTCACCACCACCACCTCCACCTCCCCCACCCCTTCCACCTCACCACCACCTCCCCTCACCACCTCCACCTCCCCACAGCCACCACCACACCTCCACCTCCCTCACCACCACCTTCACCACCACCACCTTCACCACCACCTCCCTCACCTCCCTCACCACCACCTTCACCACCACCTTCACCTCCCTCACCACCTCCCTCATCACCACCTCCCTCACCACCACCTCCATCATCACACTACCTCTATTATCACTCACCACCTAAATCATAATTTCAGTGAGGCAGAGATGGCTTAACTATAGCCAGAGCAGAGCTGTATGGTATCCACTGGCTCCCACCTCCCTCCCTCCCATCCATTGCGTCTCACCCTCTTTCATCAAACGACTGTTATTCTTGATACAATAGTGCTTATTTGTTATTCATTAATTAGTAAATATATATTACTGTAATAATCTGTGTTTATTAATACCTGTATCCTTCATATACAATACTTTACTGTATACAGGCATACCCCAATAACCAATGCATATAGACAATAGGAAAAGTTGTTGGTTAGTGAATCAACAATTACTGAAGCAAATATCCCATAAGACCATAGAACAAATTCAGCGGGTGAGGAACCGGCCATCCTCAAAAAACTCCCATCTACCCTTGATGTCTCTCTACTGCACACTGTCAAGCAGACATAAAGCAAGCATAATAAGCCTTAAATAAGCAATGTAAAGCATAAATTGAGACTGTTATTTACCTGTGTTGAGGACAGTCTAGGGTGGCAAGTTCAAGTCTCTACCACTCTTTGCTGGTCCATCACCACTCTTATTACACCTTATCACATCACATCAAGCTGCCCAGCACAAGAGGAACTGGGGTGTTAAGCATGATTGAGTAACACACTAAGTCGGAGGTAATGTAAAAACATGAAGTCAGAGACACATAGTGAGTGTAAACAAGAGTAAAGATGGCAGGAATGAGTTAGGGCAGCGTGTAGAGTCTTCTGGTGACAAGAATTTGCACCATGCCACCGCCTGCCAAATTCAGAACAGCTCTGCCTCTATATCCTAATGGTCGGATCTTTGGGGTACACCTGTGCTTTATATCTCATAGGTTAAAAATACATCATCAGGAACACCTCTCCCTATATGCAATGGTATATTGACCCCATAGAATGCCATATTCTAAATGGGGTGTTACTGTACTAATGAATGTGAGGAATAAATAAAAAAAATTTACTGTTAACTCTTAAGCCCCGGGTTAGGGCGCTGCTGGCAGTACACACACACACACACTCGCGGGGTTAAATCGAGGAAAAAATCAACTTTTCCAAAAATAATAATATAAAAAATATGGCGGGAAAATAGGCAGATGCTCTGAAACGTCACCCGGGGCTTAATGGTTAAAGAAAATAAAAGAAAAATCTTCATTGGCAGTTGGCAATAGGTTCACTAGACACACAGGACTGGAGCGGCTGAGATCCCCTAATTAAAAGTGCAGTGTTTTTTATAGGACAAAATTATATAAATATATAACATGACTGAACTGGTAAAAAACAAACTGTACAAGATGTCTTTACTGTACTGTATTTGACAGGTTAGATTCAGTGTGTGAACGCTTATTGTTCGGTGACACATCGTGCATACTGGACCCCAGAGTGGTGGAGGGGGAGTGGGTGCATCACAACATGACCAGAGTGACCTCGAGGGGTGTGGTGCTGGCCCCTGATGGTCACCCAGATGACCTTCCTAATTGGATCCTCACAGCTATGAAGTGCATGGCTCACTGTAAGTATCTGTGTGTCATAGTTTACCTGTCACGGTTCTCACATACGAAGAGTAGTTGTAGTCTTCAAGGTGAACTACAAGAGTGTATTGGAGGCTGAAGGCGTTAAATACAAGACACCACCTCTGCTACTCTTATTATTAACAGCTGCAACACGGTGAGACTATAACTGGTCGGGAGCGTTGGCTAACTGCCGCACATGTAAGAAATGTTTATTCCCTTTATGTTTTTGAACTTAGGTTAATCATCTATTTTATTTATTTATTCTGTATGAATGATTGTGTGTAACAGAGCAACAGAATTAATAAAGATACGGACGGTATATCTACTCCAGATAACAAGTTAAAACACTAACACAGCTTGGCCCAGCCCCACACCTCTGCCTCACTTACTCCTGCTGATGTAAGTTATTTTTATTCTCTTTAGTTTTAGACTTTAAGATAATATTTTTTTTATTTAATTTTTTCACATTCTGTATGAACAATTATGTGAGCATATAAGAGAATAGCAGAAAATAAGTCCGCACACACACATGTTCATAACATAGGGCTTTACTCAGGCCTACTTCACGTGAACATTTTAGCTCCCCGCAGGAGAAGGCATGTGTTCACACGGACGTGTTTCTCACGCTTCAGTTCGTGTGCGTCTAACAAAAATACTCACAGGCACTCCCGGTCCCTACCATAGATGCACTACAACTGTCGTGCAGGAAAAAATGTACATCACGTGAAGAATTCTACAATACTCGGTGTATTGTATCACACCATTGTTTGGAAGTGCAGGTACAGGCTTGGAGGTGACCGTCTCCTGCTTAGGAATTTTTTTGTGTATTTGCTGTCCCATTGAACTGCATTAATTTCTAAATCGCGCATGTGTGTCAAGTGGGTCTAATGATGAAGCTGTGGCGACCTGTGGTGTAATGGTCGACATCCTCGCCTCGCAAGCGAGCGGACCCGAGTTCGGTGAAACTATGGACAAGTTTCTTTACTCCATTTGCCTCTGTCTACCCAGCAGTAATTGGGAACCTGAATGTTAATCGATTTGCGGATCGTATTCCGGGGTAATGGCTAGCCGGTGCAGTTGGCGAGCTGTCCGGTCTTCTCGGACTATTCCATGACACTGGGTCATGCAGCTCGTTAATTTAGGGTGTGGTTGTTGTGTTGGTGACAACTTCTACACCTTAACAAATTCACGCCTAGGAGGCCCTTGGGCCGGCCATCCTCGATATCGAGGGGGTGGGCTGAATATTACTGTAGGGTATTATAGTTTGCCATTTGTAAATAAGTGGGGTATAATTTATGAATATTGACTTGGGGTGTTAAGATATCCATTATGGATAAGCAAGGCTGCAAATGGTGATGTATTTTGCAGTATTTTCATAATAACTGACAAGTTGATTACTGATGCAAAATGACCCATTGTAGAAGTGAAATATTTATAAAGAAATAAAGAATAACTAAATATGATGTAGTTTATTCATAATAGCCTACAGTACTGTAGTATGAAGAAATACAATGATTTGAAAATAGATTTGATGTAAAGTTAAAAGAACTAAGTGTGTTATACACATGTGTGTGGTTGTGTTGTAGTTAACTATACATGTGTGTGGTTGTGTTGTAGTTAACTATACACATGTGTGTGGTTGTGTTGTAGTTAACTATACACATGTGTGTGGTTGTGTTGTAGTTAACTATACACATGTGTGTGGTTGTGTTGTAGTTAACTATACATGTGTG